GTAGTAGTAGTAGTAGTAGTAGTAGTAGTTGTTGTAGTTGTAGTAGTAGTAGTAGTAGTAGTAGTAGTAGTAGTCGTAGTAGTAGTAGTAGTAGTAGTAGTAGTAGTAGTAGTAGTAGTAGTAGTAGTAGTAGTAGTCGTAGTAGTATTAGTCGTAGCATTCGTCGAACCGGTAGTGACCCCCCCGGTTTTCTGGAGGGGGGGGGATGGGTTCGAGCCGGTAGTGACCCCCCCGGTGTTCCGCCAGCAGCGGTAGAACACGCTCTTTCACATATATATATATATATGTATATATGTGTGTGTGTATATATATATATATATGTATAGACAGATTGATACATTAGTGCACGTACATGTACGATGCATGTATGTATACAACTATCTACATATCTTCTGTCATCGTGGGAGGCTGCGACCATTAATGCACCATGCCGCGCCAGCTGCAGAACATCCATGATGCACCAAGGCAAAACCGACCCATCGCAACCGTCAAGGCATCATAGGCTCAGGGGACCTGCCATAGAGCACCGCCCGTAGGGCACCCGTGTAATAACGAGTCACAACCAACTGAAAGCATCGCAGGGCGTTGGGCAAAGAGCACCAAGAATGACATATTATACGTATCACAGATGACCACCCTTAATGGCACCACGGCAATAAGTAAACATCACAACAATTGAGGCATCATACGGCGCTGAGCAGAGAGCACAGCCCATAGGACACCAGGTCAAGAACGATATATCGGAACCATTGAGGCGTCATATGGCGTTGGGCATAGACCACAGCCCATCGGCCACCAGGTCAAGAGCGAAACACCTGAACCATTGAGTCACCATAGGGCGCTGGGCGTAGAGCACCGCCCACAGGGGGCCAGGGTAAGAACGAGAAATCGCAACCACTGAGACCCCGCAGGGCGCGAATCATGTACTAAGGTCGATCTGTTAGAAAGAGCGTGCTCTACCGCTGCTGGCGGAAAACCAGGGGGGTCTCTGGAGGTTCCCAACCCGTCCCCCCCCCTCGAAATCCAGGGGGCTCACTGCCGGTTCAAGCCCCCCCCTCCCCCCCCAGTCCATCATGACAAGAGGGGGGGGTCACTACTGGTTCGAACCCCCCCCTTCTCGCCGCCGGCAAACGATTCCCGCTCCTTTGGACAGTGGGACAGTGGTGGGGACAGTGGGACAGTGGTGGGGACGGTGGTGGTGGGCACAGTGGTGTGGGGACAGTGGGACAGTGGTGGGGACTGGGGACAGTGGGGACAGTGGGACAGTGGTGGGGACGGTCGTGGTGGGGACAGTAGTGAGGGGGCAGTGGGACAGTGGTGGGGACAGTGGGGACAGTGGGACAGTTTTGGGGACGGTGGTGGTGGGGACAGTGGTGTGGGGACAGTGAGACAGTGGTGGGGACAGTGGGGACAGTGGGACAATGGTGGGGTCGGTGGTGGTGGGGACAGTGGTGAGGGCGGTGGTGAGGACGGTGGTGGGACAATGGGACAGTGGTGCAGTGGGGACAGGGGCAGTGGTGGGGCCAGTGGGGACAGTGGGACAGTGGTGGGAACAGTGGGACAGCTCAGTGAGACAGCGGCGGGGACTGGGGACAGTGGGATGGTGGTGGGGACAGTGGGGACAGTGGGACGGTGGTGGGGACAGTGGGGACTGGGGATAGTGGGGAGAGTGGGACCGTGGTGGGAACAGTGGTGGGGACAGTGTGGACAGTGCGACAGTGGTGGGGGCACTGATGGGGACAGTGGGGACAGTGGTGGGAACAGTGGGGACAGTGGGACAGTGGTGGTGGGGACGGTGGTGGGGACGGTGGTGGTGGGGACAGCGGTGAGGGCGGTGGTGAGGACGGTGGTGGGGACCCGGGAGTCGTTTGCTGGTGGCGGCGAGTGTGGGGGGGTTAGAACCAGTAGTGACCCCCCCCTGGTTTTCTGGAGTGGGGGGGGGGTTCGAACCGGTAGTGACCTTTCCTGGTTTTCCGGAGGGGTAGGGGAGGGGTTAGGGAGGGGGAGGATTTTGCCGGGGAAGGGAGCGGGGGGGGGGGTTCGAGCAGGGGGGGATTTTCGGAGGGGGGGGCAGCCCTGGGTTCCGCAGCAAGAAAGGGGGAAATTTTCCACAGTAAAGCGGCGGTGGATCACGCTCTCTCATTTGTTATTTGGGTAAGAGCGTGCGATGGTTTTCGTGTTCATGGAGTTCGCCGCGTGTTTCGCTGGCTCGATGCCTCCGTTCAGTTCCTCGCGCCGCTCCTGGAGCGCTGCATCGGCGTCGAGCGTTTGCCCTCCATTCTCGAGGGTTGATACAGAACCAACCTTTCCAAGTCGATCAGCGATTTGCCCTTCCTCGGGTGTCGATCGGGTGTTCGGGCTTCAATTTTTGTGCGCCTGCACCCGCTAGGTCTGGTCCCGGATCGTTTTCATCAAAGGGTGTTTTGCAAAAATCGCCGCCCACCAAACCACCCCAACCCAACCCGAAGGCCCCGATTTACCCTCCATTTCCAGTGTGGGGGGTTCGGGGAGCATTGAAAAAGCACGTATGAAGCCCGTATCCCCCCCAACCCGAAATTCGGGTCTTCGGGTTGGGTTGGGGTGGTCTGGTAGGTAGCCAAAAATGGATTCCTGTCCACCCCCCAACTTTCCCTGGCTTTCCCATCCCGACCAGCTACAGGCTCAGCCAACCAGATTCTGCTCTCGTGCTACTACCTGCTTCCGCTCTATCCGGCCTTTCGTCGTTTTTTTGCACGTCTCCCCAACTTCCTCCTCGCCTTCGCCGTTTTTTCCAGCTCTCCAACATCTTCCCAACATTCTCCTCATCTTCGCCGTCTTCTCCAGCTCTCCCAATCTCGAATGAATTATGTGCGCTTGTGTAATGATGTGGGGTGTGGGATGACTTTTTCTCGCGTTGATCTGTAATATGTACTCTGACCTTCGGCTGCGGCGCCTACACAAGGCGCAGATCGGGAAGGGCCAGCACGTGCTTGACAAGCTTGACAAG